TCCAATATCTGCTTAATAAATACCACGTGACTGTTGCTGCCATCTCTGAGACTTGGCTGAGGCCAGAAGCCCGATTCCGGGTACGTGGCTTTGCCTGCCTCAGGGATGACAAAGCTGATGGTTATGATGGTTGTGCCCTACTAATCAAACAAAACCTCACTTATTCCAAACTTCCTATTCCTCCCCACAATGACCTATTTAATATCATAGCAGCAAGAGTAATGAACATTACTTTTGTTTCTATTTATTTACCTCACCCTCATATCTCCATCATTTCTGATTTAGAAGCAACGCTTATAAACTTACCTAGTCCTGTAATAATTCTGGGTGACTTTAACACTCATCATACATCATGGGGATCCTACTACTGTGATTCATTCTCTCCTCATTTAATAGATTTATTTCATGAACTAGATGTGTGTATCCTAAATGATGGTAGTCCAACCAGAAGAGTATACCCCAATCAAGACCCGAGGTCAGCTGTGGATCTTTCAATGTGTTCTACATCTTTGGCTCCCCATCTATCATGGAAGTCAACATTGGAAACCTATGGTAGTGATCATTTCCCCTTAATAATCTCCAAACCTGACACCTGCATCCCAGCTCCTTTTATTCCTTCATTCCGCAAATTCAATACGCGTAAGGTAGATTGGATCAAGTTTTCAGAAGATGTGGACAGACAACTGAGCCTTCTAAATGTCAATCACAGACCAGACATTGAGGAATTGTATTCTTCTTTCACAGACGCATTAGTGACGGCGGCTACTAGTAATATTCCAATCATTCGTTCATCAAAACGTAACCTATCATCTCCCCCGTGGTGGGACGCCGAATGTTCAGAAATAATAAAACTTAGAAAACGAGCAGAAATAAATTATAATCTGAACATGTCTACGGAAAATTTTATTATTTATAAACAAATATTGGCTAAGGCTAAACGCCTTTTCAAAAACAAAAAAAAATCAGGATGGCATAGTTTTTGTGAAAGTCTTTCTCCATCAACAGCTCCTTCTAAGGTTTGGCGTAGTATTAAACGCTTCCGTGGTTCTTTTGTCGGTCCCTCTCCATCATCAAATGATCCCACCATATGGTTGGAATCATTTGCTAATAAGATGGCTCCTCCCTTCGTTCCATTTGAAATTGAACAGCCGCCCCTCCCCCATCCTTCAAGCCAGATTCAGGATAGATTTGACTGTGAATTCTCTCTGGCTGAACTTAACTTGGCTTTAAAAAATCTAAAGGATTCTTCTCCAGGGGAAGATCATATTCCTTACACATTTGCTTCGCATCTCAGCTCAACCGGATTAACATTTTTACTTAACTTATATAATTACATACTGAATACGGGGACTATCCCCTCATCGTGGAAATCACAAATTGTTATCCCAATCTTGAAACCATCTAAAAACCCTATTGATGCCTCATCATACAGACCCATAGCCTTGTCTTCTACACTTTGCAAAATTCTGGAACACATGATTAAAAACAGGTTAGAATGGTTGGCCGAGAATAGGGGACTATTGGCTAAGAGTCAATTCGGATTCCGTAAAGGTAAGGGTACACTGGATAGTCTTGCCATACTTACATCAGATATAAGGTTAGCCTTTTCTAAAGATGAATACTTGGTTAGCGTTTTCCTTGACATTTCAGCTGCCTATGACAATGTCCTGCTTCCGGTGCTCAGAGAGAAATTACTTCGAATGAGCTTTCCTGCGAGGCTAGTTCATTTTATTTATAATCTTTTAATTGGTAGGTCAGTTAAGATCCGTTTTCACAACCATGAACTCTCACCGAGAACTGTTTGGCAAGGCTTACCTCAGGGCTCTGTCCTGAGCCCTTTGCTTTACAGCTTATACACCTACGATCTCGAGATGTGTGTGACAAGCTTCGCTAATATCCTCCAGTATGCGGATGATATATGTCTCTATGTCGCTAGTAAATCTGTTGATAATATTACAAACAGACTGAATTCAGCCTTATATTACTTGAAACAATGGCTGGATGATCATGGACTTACCCTGTCCACTGCGAAGAGCAACTCTGTAACCTTCACTAGAAAAAGAGTAGTCCCTCCTGCCCAAATTATAATCGATGATCAGACTATTCCATCCTCAGATCAGGTAAAATTTCTTGGTGTCATCCTTGATTCCAGATTAACAGGTTCAGCCCATTTTAATTTTGTTGCACAAAGATGTGAAAGTGGAATAAATATACTCAAATCCCTTTCAGGGGTATGGTGGGGTTCTCACCCATACTCGCAGAAGCTCTTATACAACGCCTTAGTCCGTAGCTTATTTGACTATGGGTCATTTTTACTTGAACCCTGTAACAAAGAACCCCTTAATAAATTAGATAAACTCCAATTAAGATGTTTACGAATTATAGTAGGCGCCATGAAGTCGTCTCCTGGCATTGCTCTTCAGGTGGAGTGTGTGGATTCTCCTTTGGATCTGCGTCGCCAATATCTTTGTGACAGATTTATTTTTAAAACTGTCCAACTGCATTCCCACCCTCTTCGCCCTCGCTTAGATAAATTATCTAGAGCAATCAATGTCTCTGCATATTGGACCCATAAGGAGCCTCCTAGGATAATAAAAAGCTATAGAAAAATATCTGTCTTGTCTAATGATATTGTAACATTTGATACCCACCCTCTATTTAAAATTAATTTTGAAGCTCTTATTTTTACACCCAAAGTAATAAATTTTGGCATTCAAAAAAACGATCCTTCGGCACAAATAAAATTTCTGGAACATTTCAATTCAGAGTGGAGTACTTGGTTACCAATTTTCACTGATGCCTCTCGAACTTGCTTGGATGGAAACGTGGGCGCAGCAGTTTGGATAACCAAATATAAAATAGTATTAAGTTTCAAATGTCCTATAGAAGCTTCGGTCTTCTCCGGAGAAGCTGTGGCTATCCTAGAAGCAATTTCTTACGTCCTCTCTCATCAACTAAACAAATCTATAATCTTTACTGACTCACAAAGTTGTCTAGCAGCTCTCTTAAGCAATCTTTTTAAATCTAAATCTCCATCTCCTATTATCCTTAATATTAAAAACTTACTTTTTGAATGTCAATCTCACAATATTGATATAGCTCTAGCTTGGATTCCTGGACACAGTGGCATCCGTGGCAATGAAGAAGTGGATGCTTGGGCTAAAGATGCAACATCCAATGGTGACACATCACGCCTACAAAATTACTCTTCTGATATTCTTCAAATAGCCCAAATTAATCTTAAGTCTGAATGGAATAAAAGATGGTTCACCAATTCCAAAATTATAGGAAGGCACTATGGTAACCTACAAACCACCGTTCCAAGCAAGCCCTGGTTCTTCAAATTCCGCGATCTTCCTCGACGTGTTATTACAACAATTTGCCGCCTTCGTTTTGGCCATGTTACCTCCCCAGTCTTCCTTTCAAAGATCCGTATATTAGACAATTCCATGTGCGAGTGCGGAATTGAAGAAGGTACCACCGACCACATTCTCTTTAACTGTCTGAAACAACCTTCTTTATATGAACAACTTCCACCTAAAACCCCCCGTCCCATTAACCTAAATACTATCTTGTCTATTTCTAATATACCTATCTTTTTTTGTCTTTGTAAGCATATTAAAAAATATAACATTAAATTATAACCTACAAGATACTATAATATATTTATTGTCATACTTTTTATTTCATTTATTACTAAAATTTGTGACGTTTGCTTTGTGTTGTCCTTTTAGGTCAGGAAAGAGTGTACTCAAGGAAGAAAACATGTAAAAATAATTACTGAGCAATTTCATAAGTGTCTCTCTCACTACGGGACGTTGGCAGAATTTCTGTGTAAAACGGAAAAAGGCCATTTACATAAAAAAAAAAAAAAGGGTATCGATGATCACGCCCTCTTTACAATAGAGTAATTAAGTAATCGAGTAACTAGCAATTAAAATAAAAGAAACTAAATCAAACGATGTTCGTAATGATGATGCGACATATATAAATCATCAAAGTAAAATTATATATATCGAGCTCATAATAAGGCACGAATATGAAAATTATTTTTCTTAACTTTGACAATGATATTTAAATTTTGTATGTATTTAAAATTTATCATCAATATTTGAATGCAATGGCTAAATGGGCTGAATTCAAATTTCCTTTTCATCTATAGTGCATCTCATTTAAAGACAAATAAATTATTATTATCATGAATTATAATCATCATCTTAATAATATCTTTGTGGTGGGACACAGCTCTTTCATAACGATAGAATCAAATCGGGAAAACGAACCGCAGACCATAAAGGACCCAGATGAACCGACTGCATCTGTTGTTACACCTATTATGGATTGATAGGTGTAACGCTTCATTAGACACACTGGGTTTAATGTGTCCTTCAAACTACAGCGGAGCTCAACATCGTCAAACATCCGCTGAACGGCTTTTGTGAAAATTGCCTAACCTCATTATGTGTAGATCGAATGTGCAAAGCACTGCGATATTAATGTCTTCGTTGCTACATAATTGTTTCATTATCTTTAGTAACATAATAAGTTAATGTTTTATAGGAGAATAAACAGAGTTAATATATATTCGTTATATTTCATAGATATAATCAAATCTATGACCGTTATAATCAGATCCATGGTATCAAAAATTGTGATCTTTATAATATAATCGATTTATTGTTGTTACCATGGGCAGTGGTAGTAGTGGTTTCGTCCATGGGGCAGGCGAAGGAACTAAGCATAGACGAACTAAGACATACTGCCAAATCTATAGATTAATACTTCTTTTGTTTGCTTATTCTTTGTTGTTGTCTTTAAACGACTAATGTGTTAAAATAATAATAATACACTTTATTGCACTCAATAAAAACAGGTTACAGGAAAATTATATTAAGAAGAAACAGAACATAAATGGCGGCCTTATTGCTGTGCAGCAATTTCTTCCGTGATGGACAGAAAAAGAAGTTTTAATGGATAGTGTGGGTAGTAGGCAATATAAGGAAGGATAAATAAATAAATAACGGATACAACTCTAGACAAACATTTAGTTACTAAGATGATTAAAAGACAGATTTAAATTAATGTTCTACAACAGTTTAAAATATATATAATAAGTAAAAATGTTTTAGGATATAGATAGGAAATGACTCTTAACTTGATCGCAAAACGTATTGAGTGAACTTTCCTAATACATTCCGGGAGTGAGTTCCAAAGCCGCACAGCATGCACAGAGAAGGAGTAGGAAACAAAGTCTGTAAAGTGGCGAGGAATCTCAAGAGTGAGATTGCTAGAGGAATGCAATGAACATTATGTAGAGAAAGAGCGGTAGGAGAAGCATTTTTTAAGATAAGGCGGAGAGAATGGGAGAAAAAGTATAGAATAAAGAACCGTAAGAGTGTGCAAGTCCCTGCGCCGGCGAAATAATAATGTGTTAAAAAAATCTATTTTGTAACTGTCTATTTTGTGTTTGGTTTGTACGTGGTGTCATTGTTGACTGAATATCAGTGCAGTAGGCTTTGCTTATTGCTTGTATACTGAACTGCGGCCAGCTTTGACAATGCACACCATGGCACAGACTATGACATTGTTTTTTTTTCTGTTCTATCCTCATGTTTTTTTTATTATTTGATTTTAATTTAATTTTATTTATTATTTCAAGTTGTATATTGTGTACGTGACGTATGTTGTCAAAATAAATGAATTTTATTCTATATAAAAAGCAAGAAATACAAAAAAAAATTAAACAAAATATTAATGTTAATAAATAAATCTTAAATCTATATTTTCGAAGGTTCACAGTGTATTTTCCTTATACGCGTGACCATGAATTCAGTAAGCAAGTTAATGATATATATTTATCTATGTTATTTTTATACTGTATCTCATTATTTTATCATTCTGCTCTAAAGGCGTATCAATACCTACATAGTTCGTATAATTTTTATTTTTATATTTCTTCATTGGAATAGATCAATAGGTCTAAAATATACACATTAATAAATGTCATTTATAAAAAATCACAAACGTATAAGCTATTTAGTTATGACCTTGCAATGCGGGCAGACGTCTGTGTGGATGTAATTAATGAAATTGTATTTATTTTGATATAAATTGACCTTAATTGTGTATGTAGGTACCTAGTTTGTAGCAATTGTGAATATAGCAGTATTTTCTAGTCGAAAATGGATTATTTTTTATTATTTTGTGTGATGTTAATTCAAGGTACGTATTTTTAAAATTATAATGATCGGTTCAATTTATGACTTTGGGAGTTCACTAGCCATAATCTAAAAATGATCTTCCCGGTATAAGAAAATTCTCTTTAATTACATACGAAAAAATTAATCTATTCTAAATAAAATTAAATATCGGCGTTGATTGTATTTAAATATCATAATTATCTTATATATATAAATCTCGTGTCAGAATATATGTCATTGTAATTGAAATTATTGAACGGATTTTAATCTGTTGTTTTAAACTTTGATGCTCATTAACATAGAATGATTGCTAAAAACGAGATTATTACAATGTATCTTATATTTCGTATATAAGTACTTGTAATTTTGTCTATAATTTGTTACAGTTTTTATTTGAATTATTTATTTCTATTTAAATATCGAGGCACAGTACGAGTGGCTGAGTCAGTTAGTAAATATTATATATGAGAGCAATATATTGTTTATTCTAATGTAACATTATGTTATTTTATAGTGTCTTCAGTATTTCAAACTAAAGAAATACGAATAAAACGGGTGAGTGTTCGATTTTTTTAATTAGTAACTTGTACGATAAAAAAAAAAAAAAAAAAAAAAACAAGGATTCCATTGGTATCAACCAAAAATTCTTTTGGTTAATATCAATGGAAATGTTATTAATATGTGAATTGTGTTTAAGTGTATCATGTTCAGATAGATTCGAAATAGTGTTTTGTTTTATAACAAATGAATGATATTTAGTCATGTGTTTTGTATCATAACCATGTTTTCTGACTGTCATCTCTTCTAGGCTATTTTAACGCGAGGTAGAGTCCCGTACATTAGTCATAATTAAATAGATAGTTAATTCAGTTCAGTGACACTTTGAATTTTTTTTTTATCCTGACGCTAGTAATCGGTATCTCGCATTGACGTTTATAATACCAATTTACAGAAATGTTTAAATAATTGAACTCATTAGATGACGAACATCTTAAAGTAACATTTACTATTAATTATTTTTTTGACATTTCATTTCTATTACTTACTGATCACACCATCGTCACCTTAACAAAACTATAAAATTTATTTTATAGATTTTAAACTTTAATACATTTACAGTCGAGTTCAAAATTAACGTCAGTTGTACATATTTTGGTAATCATGTCAAAAAAGATTAAATAAATAATACTATACATATCTATTATATAATTCATAAATCATGTTTATTTCAGGAAGAGGACGAAAGATGGAGCTGGGGTTATTTTATTGATGAGAAAAGAGATGATACTCAAGTAAGTATACTGTTAACTTATAAATCGTTATTTGTAATGATTACTTTATTTTGTTGCGTGAATAATGTGACAAATAATTAGTAGGTACTTCTTAATAGTTGTTTTTTTTTTTTAATTTATTATTAACTATATGACCCGGTATCGTCTCTTATCGTTTAAACCTCTTGTTTACGAAAAACATTTCAAAACCAAAATCAGCTAAATGGGCGCAGTTTTTCTAGAGTTTCAGCGAGAGAAATGAATAATAATTGATTTTCAGATTAAAAAATTATTTCACACCTAATAAATTGGTATTCCAATATTATGGATATGTTGTTTATTAATTTTCAAAACATAACATTGTTTTTTTTTTATATTATTAATCGTTATTATAATGTTAAGAAAAAGTTGAATACATTGATAATAATAAATAATAAACATAAAATATAACGATCAACTTTTATTTATAACACGATTTAAAACAACAACTTAAAATGCCCAGGCTATCTATTGGAACCAATTGGAACTCAAATATGATACAACTGTGACGTACCAACTTAAGAAAATACCGGATTCTAGTGGTGCACATCGCAATAACCTTAGGTAAAATAATATGTTAGTCGATGACCTCAAATGAACATGTTAATATACAAACATGGATTCGAGGTTTTATACTACTTGAAATTTTGAGAAACGAAATCGTTATGTTGATTTTTGTTTATTATTCGAAGAAAAGGCATACTAATCGAAATTTCAAGATATAAATAGATGTAGGAAAAATAATAAGTACCTAAATTTACAGGTCAGACTTTCAGACACACTGAATCAAAATGTAAATAATCCATGCGAAAAACCACCCCCTGTTAAAGTGCCTGATTTTAGCGCACCCGGCCGCAGGATCAGCTACGTGAGTGAGTACCTTTATTATAGGAAGTTTGTTTTACCCATTGAAAAATAAGGTTATTTAAGCCTAAGATTTCTATGTATACTAAACATGATGTTAAGAATTAAAATTGCGCCACAGGAGGATGTTTAGTGTTACCCAAATGCAAGAACAAGACGAGACTTGGCCAGTCTTGGTCTTGGTCTTGCGCCAATACACCTGGTCTTCGTCTTGGTCTTGCGCTCCCAGTCTTGGTCTTGGTCTTGGTTTTGCAGCAAGAGTCTTGCAAGTCTTGCAATTACCTATTAGACTATTGCTATTTATTAAAGTTTACTTTAGATCTTAGGAATTAACATAGCCGTAGTAAAGAACAAGAATCAGATTAATAAATGTCTGAAGATTTGATAAAAAATTCGATTACTGCCACATGGTTATCAACTGAGCTATACGCCGTTTTCCATGGGAGTAACTGTTTCTTAATAAACATTTACGCTTTATAAGCTTTCATGTGCTGAAACATGTAAAACACAAATTATTTATAATAAATTGACTGTATTTTAAAGAATCTCTCTAGAAACAGATTGAACCCTCAACTTATATGAAATTTAATTAAAGAGTTTTACGATTTATCATTTATTTCAATAAAAAATAAAATACAACACAAATCAAATAACACAATAGTACACAACAGCTTTGTCATTAGGTTCTGTTACTTTATATCAATTCTTTTGACCAAGAATTAATACAAAGTAACCATCTGGCTGACTCATCACTTAACCTATTTCTATGTTTTCTAATTACTAATGATGCTTTAGAAAATAATCTCTCAGCAGGTACTGAAGTTGCAGGTATTAAGAGAAAATCACGGGCCATCTTCGATAAAGTCGGATACTCTGTCTCCATGCGTCGTCCATCAATCTAAAATGTCTTCCGAGCTGGCAGCTCTTGGTTTTCTCAGGTACTCCTCCAACTCGTCTATCACTAAGCCTTGAAGACAAGATCCAGATGACGTCGAGGGACATTCATACAGTTTATCTAAGTCTATTACGTCTTCATCTTCATCACATACCTTATTTTCTTTTCTTGGCAATTCCAGAGATTTGTTCAGTGAGTGTAGACTGTAGTGTTCTTCATAAAGTTCATTGAACTTGCGCAGGCTTTCTGTTTTAAGTTGCTTCCCCCATATTGTCAGGTCAAAAGTCTGAGCCTTAGCCTTGGGTCTAAAATTAAAGAAGTACAATAAATCCAGTTGCTCTTCTTATAATGTTTAAGCATTTTGTCTCGAGCTGCTTGGAAAGCCAGAATGAGCCTTTCATCCACTTCAGATCCAATAGGTTTCTCATCTAACTGTTTTACCATGGATTCAATTTTATCGAGCAAGAGATTGAATGATACAATGACTAGCGGTAATGTAACATATTTTTCTCCACCAAGTTTTGTATATTAAAAGTTTAAAGTTTATTCGAAACTTATGTATTTTTTCGAGTATTTGCCATTCTGTGCTGTGAGTTGAAAATCATTCAATTCGGTGACACAACTGCATAATATGTTAATGCCCGCTCTCACTTTTAAACCAAATCCAATCATATCATGTGTGGAATTCCATCTCGTTGGACAGTCAAGAATGGGATTCAGATTTAATGGCACGCCAGCTGCTTCACAAGCAGACTGAAACTTCTTCTTCACTATTTCACTTCTTTATATTTTGCTGGAAATACTGCGTAACTTTGTTACAGATGTACGCGAGTTAGCAATATTTGGTGCATATTCTTCATCTTCCTCAGTTTCGTCTGCATAGTCTTCACACTACTGATCTTGCGCGTTAGTGTCAGTCTCATAGTGTAATGCTAAGGTCTTTAATAAATCTTGTACACCAAGGTTTAAAATGTAAGCAAAGCACCGGAAATGTTGATTGTCTGAATCAAAGTGTGGTGGCAGCTGTTTGCCTAGTTCATACATAAATTTAGTATTTGCAGTTGCGTTGTCGACCGTATTTTATCAATTATGTCATATTCCAATAAACATTCGTGGAAAATCGTTGCAATATCTTGCCCAGTATGTCGACCGCGTGATGGTATAAAATCAAGAACTACAGATCGATTCTTCCATTCGTTGCCTATATAATGCATAGTAACCCCGTAGTAACTCCTACCAGCAATTGACGTCCACCCATCAATGGTAAACGACATTTTAGATGATAATTGTTGAAGTCGTTCCTTGAGATTCAATTGGAGCTCTTCAAATCGCTTTTTGACTTTCCTTCTAAGTGTGGACCTTGTCACTACTGTTTTCCGACTTAAATAAAACAATAAATCTTGTGTTATTATTTAAAACATACTAGGTTTGAGCGTTTAGGAGGAGGAGGTTTGTTGTTGTTAAATCTAAAGTTGTACTGTAATTTACCAAAATAAAGTACTTAGTTGTTACAGGCCGATTATGAAAACAAATGAAAATATGGGTGCTTTATCAAAAATATTTAACACGATAATTACATACTTAATATGTGTTATGTAATTGTGAGATAAGTAAATTTATTCTAACCTGTCCACTTCTTCCAGCAGTTACGAAAAAGCTTGCGATATCTCCGCTTAATTTTGGTTTAACAGGAAGAAATATTTGTGATTCCTTTTTGTGGAAAGATATTAGATGTTTCCTTAAGCCTGAAGTGTTATTATACACCGAACTGTTATTCCTAACTACTCCGTGAAATAGCGCTAAGTCCTAGCTGCAAGACGCAAGAGTCTTGCGGGATTAGTCTTGTTCTTGCTCAAGTCTTGCATGGTCAGTCTTGGTCTTGGTCTTGCTAAAAATACGCGGTCTTGTTCTTGGTCTTGGTCTTGCAAAAATGCAAGACCAAGACTGAATTTGGGCAACACTAAGGATGTTATATGATGATATATTTGTAGTTCATTCGGAAGTGAATACCATCCTTAACTTTTGATGATATATCTGTAGTTACATTCGGAAGTGAATACCGTCCTTAAATTTCATAAAGAAGGTTTTAAGTCCCTGCAAGGGGGACGTAAAAGGGCAGATGATGATGATGATGATTTGTCGGAACACTTACGGATAAACAATGGAACTTATATAGTTACAAAAAGCCTGTTAACAGTCGCCATAGCAGTTTTTGGCAAAGAGTAAACAAAATGGCAATATAAAGCGATAGTCATTATTAACATAACTACGGAGGCTGAAAAGCTTAATATATGTAGATATTAATTTTTACAGTTGTTGATATAAATAAATCATATTCTTAATGAAAAATGTTTTAAAATCCACTTTGTCCCTGGACTTGAAAAGTTTGTCAGTCCTTTTAGGTCCTGGGTAGCTAAGTGGTTAGAGTAGTCGCACGGTTTGCGAAAGGTCATGGTTTTGAATCCCATCTCAAAGTACCAGAGACAAAGTGGATTATTTAAGCATTTTTCATTATGAATAATTTTTGTATCACATTGTGAATGCAAAATTGATCAAATATAATATATAAATCATGTTCAAAATAATAAATAAAACAATAACATTTCTTTATAGAATGTTTGGAATATATTTGGGATATCAAAACGAGAGAAGACGAAGATATAAGGATGGACAAATGTGGGTATCGCTATCAAGTTCATATTATTTAATTAGTTTTTTAATAAAAAAAATAGAATTCGCAAGTCCGACAGAAAAAATCATATGACAAATTTTCTTTATCACGTATAGGTATTTTTAAACAATAAAATAATTTCAGATACAAATCTCTAAACTCAAACATAGACCATGTTAAAAAAACAAGTGACCAAATACATCTCGTGCAAATGTATTACTTACTGTAACAAAAACATTGTATTGGTTTTCAGGTAAGTTAATTCGTGATATAGAGAATGAAAGTAGAGGTGGTTCTGTGCCTCAGGCTGTGGGTGGACGTCCGGCACTTCCTGGGGAGTTTCCACATATGGTAATAGTTTCCCTTCTTTTCAAGCAATCTTCTGTTTGTCTTAAATAAGAATGGAAATTATGAATTATATTGGAAAAAAATGTATATAGTATATAAATCTTTCTTAAGCTATACGTTTCAACGTAAGCGATTTGTCACAACAGCATTATAATCCAAAATACGTTGCTGTTCATCGCGTGATTTTTATGTACAAGATAATATCTCAGGATCTTTTCTATATTCGAACTTATTTCAATGGTTCTTAAGTACTAAAATGTTTATTAAAGCAATTATTACAGAGATCTGAATTGAATAGAACTAGAATAGGAATACTGTAGCGAATATAAATCAGAAACTATTAAGGCATTACAAATGCAGGGAATCAAGTCAATATAAAAAATAACGTTGCTGATATTGAATCACTGTGCAACGTGCAGAGATTACACAAATCCATAGTTAAATAGGTTGACAATTAAATATTATAGCTGCAGTATAATTTTTATGTCTTCCTTGTTATATTTTAGTTTTATTAGAAATCGTTTTCATATTATCTAATTCTATTTCTTTTATCTTTCGTCCCTATCAGGGTGCCATTGGTTGGAAATCAGTTTTGGGTTCTTGGATATTCAAATGCGGTGGTTCTCTTATTAGTAACAAATTCGTACTTACCGCGGCGCACTGTTCCAAGGCTTCACAGAGGGACACTACCATTGCCGACGTTGATCCTAAGATTGTGAGATTGGCAGACAAAAATATTTTGGTAAAAATTTATTCATAAAATTTAGCCTATTAATCTTCCCACTATTGGGGTATGGGAGCCAAAAAGAAAGGATTATAATTGCTATAAATGTATCAGCATAAAGACGGCACTTTGATGCCTATTCATATTATATTCATGTTGTTAATAATAATTAATAATCTCTTTTAGGAGAACAACTTAAATGAACATGTGGATGCCATAATATTGAGGGTCATTAGGCATCCAGACTATAAGCCACCAAAGAAGTACAATGATATAGCTATTATAGAGTTACAAAATGAAGTAACTTTTAATAAATATATTCAACCAGCGTGTCTAACAAGTGACTCTAATATCCCTTTGGTTGGTCAAAAAGCCTCTATGACTGGATGGGGAGTGGTGGAAACTGGTATATCTCTTTAAATTTTGTATCTTTTAACCTTCATCTAAAGAAATATTTTTATTCCTTTGGGTTAGAAGAATACCTACTTATTGTCTTTGTCAGTTTTATTATATACTATATCTTTGTCTTTGTCAGTTTTATTTTTATAAAATACCATGGATCATCTAGATATCGTCTTGATTTCATTAAAAATAAAAACGGCTTGCCGATCCACCAATCTGTCGTTCTCGTAAAAGAGTTTTGATATCGTACAATATCGATTCCATATGTAAGACTGAATGTTTTATTTGAATAAATGTTGTTGTTATAATTGAAAGTATGCGATACGTTTTCCGTTACATATACACCGACAATTAATAAAAACTGAAAATAAAAGAGTGATTTATTGCACATTTTTTAGTTAATCGCACCACGTCTCCGGACCTGCAAGTAGTGATACTGGACTTATTAGATACAAAGCAATGCGATGACTTACTGAAGCCGTCATGTAACAGGCATTGGTGCGGTTTAAAAGATCACCAGTTGTGTGCTGGAGTTTTGGCAGGCGGAGTGGACGCTTGCCAGGTAACTTTTATAAACATAAAGAATGCTTTGATTCGATCTGCTTGAAAATGTTTTGAATTATAATCAATTTTGTTAATAATAAAATGTTTATATTTCGATTCCTTTAGGGAGATTCCGGTGGTCCTTTGCAAATCCAAATGTCTCTTCCACAAAGAAACGACAAGTAAGATCTGTTACATACTTAATTTATTGACGAAGCTCGTGTTGTTTTTATTATTTTTTTTAGTAAAATGTGCAATAATTTTATTCCTTTTTTCATATTTCATAGGTGTGACGCCGATAAATCATGTAGAAGGATGCATCAAGTGATCGGCGTGACGTCATTCGGTATCGGCTGCGCGTTACCCAATCTGCCTGGCGTCTATACAAGAGTCTCCAGCTACCTTGATTGGATTGAAAATATAGTTTGGAAATAAATATTTAAACTCTTTTAAAAGTGATTTATTTATAATTTTAAATACATAAATTTTAATATTCGTTGTAACAATGTTAAAAATACAATGTGAATGTCAAAACAATCTTAAATAATCAGACACCTTTGATAATAAAACTCTGATAATGTTCAAAATTTTAAGTCTTATTTCGACAGATGGGCGATCACTAGTAGTAATTTTTCTTTAAAAATTTGATAGATGTTTTAGTGTAATATTTACAAATATATATCCTTTTTTAATTACTCGATATTCAAATTGTCTTATTATAATTATACTTTACTTCTGGTAATGTAGCGATCATGAATAGCTCGGTAGCATAGCTGATAAGCGCCGAGGCCCGTGGTCATGGTTACTATGCAACATTCGCAAAGGTCGTTCACGGGATAGGTGACCAAAAATTATTATCTCAAGCTATTGCACGCTTCGGAAGGTACGTTAAGCCGTTGCCGTGGTTAACACCCTCCAAACCATAAGCCCAGTGGGCCAGCCTGGAGGCTTATCGTCCATCACTCTTAACCAACCATAAGGAAGTCCTGAGCTTAGACGTAAAAAGGATTGATAATGATGAATCATAAATATAAGAATGAAATAAGTGGTTTCATAGTCATATCCATGGCACCAATTTTTTTGTGGATTTTCTCTCTTAGGTTTTTGATTTCTAATTATATAATTTAATTTAGATTACGACTGAAAATATTACACAATTCCATAGATATGATAAGAAGTACATTTTTGTTAAGTATCACCTCTAAAAAAAGGGTGATTTTAGTAAAAATTAAGTTGTTAATTAACTGCATTGTTGTAATATACAGAAATCTGGACTTCAGGCTACCAAAATTAGACAATCCGCAGTTGATTTTAAGTCTACCCTCAGAGCATTAAGATTTAAAATCAAGTGGGAAAATTTGACAGATGTGTTGGGTACACACCTGTCAAACCCTGACGTCCTGTTGATTGTATAAGAACATGTTAGGGTAAAGGTTAAAAAAATGCACAATTACAATAGAATGCTAGGAAAAGAGAGATACCGGGATAAAAAAGTATAGCAGAAATCTATTTTTATAGGGTTACGTATAATAGGTTACGTAGGATAATAAAAAGATATAGATTTTTTTATATCTAATAATATAACAAAAAAGGTAATCGTATTATATTTTTATAATTGGAAATAAAAAATCAACTCATCGGCAGGTATAATATCAATTATTGGATGAAATTACTAAGTGCCGGGCTATTAAAACATTTATAAGAAATCATGTCAATTTATTTTAGTTGTTGTAAAAGCAAATGGATCTAGTCTATAAAGCTTATTCATAGGTAATAATGTTAATATTTTGCACTAAACCAATAAATCGAAGGATGCAGGAGAACTTCAGAAGTGACACGACTCTTTGTTCTTAACAGTTGTATGAGGTAGCCTTTATTGTGCGCGTTTTATTATTGCAAGTCAATTATTTTGCATTTGTCATCAATAAATAAATTGAGTTTTTATTTCTCCTAATTTATAAATAATAATAACAAATAAGATATACTCAAATACTCAACAATCTACATTTTCCGTCATACTATAAAACGAGTATTAAAATGACTACTGTAACGTCCGGACACATTCCTATAGGCAGGTTTACTCTTCGGACGATTTAAGGTCAATGCTGGCCGTTAATATTTTAAATTTTTACTTTTTCGTATTCGATTTCGCGTGTTCGTGTTTTGCTGGTTGTCAATCTTTCCTTTCTGATCGAGACCAGTTTAGAGTGAGTATCATAGTTTTTGGTTGTAAGTGTGCTAATGTAATAATAATTGAAAATAAATCAAGACTGAGTAGTTCTACCAGTTTTTTTCATTACGCCACCCACCTCCACCATTAGAAATTAAGTTACCAGACTACTAACACTTTGATTATATACTTATTTGAGAAAGAACTTACAATAGTTTAAATCATTGGTCGCCCTTAAGCAAATTGACAATGACAGAATAATTTATTAATTTAATGCGACCTTATAAATACCATGTTTTCAAACAAATAAAATAGTTATCTATATATTAATACGTGTAACAAAAACTTTGGACCCCTTTTTACGAAAATTGCGAGGACGGAGGAGTATGATATTTGGCACACTTATAGTTTGTATGTAGGATAAGTGCAAACAGCTAATATTTTTCAATAATCTATACTAATATTATAAAGCTGAAGAGTTTGCTTGTTTGAACGCGCTAATCTCAGGAACTACTGGTTCGAATTGAAAAATTCTTTTTGTGTTGTATAGACCATTTATCGAGGAAGGCTTTAGGCTATATAACATCACGCTGCAACTATTAGGATCGAAGAAATAATGGAAAACGCGGACGACGTCGCTGGCGGCCACTAGTAATGCTTATAAAGTAGCTACATTTAATCGATAAAATAAACATTACACACACTACTATACATTTGACACATCCAAACAAGTATTTGCTACACGCATACATGTACTCTGTAGTGAAATTGTTTCTTTGGTCATAGAGTTTGTTTGTTTCTTTTGAATATTGGCTCACACCGTTTGTGCTTTTAGCCATTATCAAGTTTTATATGTTTACCACAGACATCTGTTTATATGTATGTGATTTTTACTGTGGTTTTACTGAATGTCAAAGGATTTTCGATTTCAGTAATAACTTCTAATTGAAATTGATTATGGTCGAATTTCGACCACTGGGCGACCACTAGTTATTATTATCTTCTAATGAAGAGAAAGGACAAATGGAGACGTTTTGACTAGCTTTGGTCAGATAACTACAACTACTAATAAATTACTAGATTTAGTACTAACTAAACTAAACTTTGAATCGCTCTTATTATCATTACCAGCCTAATAATATCCCTAATGGATGGACTCGAATCAAATTGAATAGGGAGAATGGGCCATAACTGCGGGCCCATCGCATTACCTCATCTCCTCGCTCATCGTTCTCATAATTTTATAAAAATCATATCCGAAAAGAGTATATGTGCATCAAAGGTAGTATCAGGTCCTTCCCATGTTGCATAATAGAATGTGGGTTTCCTTGAAGTTATATTAGCGTTACAAAATAAGACGAAATTTCGTTTTCGGCGAAACCAAGTAGGCGTTTGATACGGTCTCAAGTTTTCTCGATCTTTTCGTATGACATTGAAGCTTTGATACTAACAAGCGCAGATAGCAAACGCTTTGACGGCTCTGAGATGTGGTGTTCGAGGAAGACGTTTCATATCCCCTGAACAACATTTCGAACTAACGCTTCCACACTGCGCGAACACAAATGTCCTCGTGGCTGTCATTCGAATATCTGTGCAGAGTTCTCAAATACTTAGGTCAAATTGCAAGAAAAGACGGCAACTCATAGTGACCGGTAAACAGGATGGAAAACGCCGTCGTGTTCACAACCCAATACGTTGGTCTGACAAGATCTGCACCGCTCTTGCGTCTTCCATACTGCCTGAGACAGAAAGTGTTGCAAAAGAATAATACGAAAGAAGGTGAAACAGAGGTAACGATCCTAAATTTAGCAAGACTCGTTGAGTAAATAAAGGAAACAACACAGAAGTAGTTCGAATTTTATAATCTTTCGAAACTAAGTTGTAATTGACTGAATACATAGTAATGTAAGGTTCAAGAATTGGCTCAATATGTGTTAAACGGATAAAAAAATATTTATATTGGTAAGTCATAAGATTTTGAGAATTGAGGTTAAGAAGAAGTCAAATCAAATGTTAATTTCCTTATTAAATTAGTATCTCGATTGTCTATTTGACCATGACCCCAAACAAGCTTGTTGTTTTGTTGCTATATTTAGCCTTTGATCTTTTTAACATTCTGCGATAATTATTGCAGTTCGTGGAATCCCTGTGATATAAATAAACAAACTGTGAACTAAAAAGAGAGTAAAACGATACCCTTGAAATGTGAGTTACAAGTTTGCAAATCTATAAAAACCAGGTTCTGCTCATTTAGATATTATTTTACAGTGTGATTGTCGCTTGTATTTTTGTTTAATATTTGAGTTTGTTTTAATGTGTTCTGATTAATAAAATGTATTTTATATTATTTTGTGTGCTGTTAATTCAAGGTACATACAACAGTACATCAGGTTTTATTATAATCACAAACTGTACATCTTCCTGAATGAATTATAGTAGTGATCATTTAAAATAAAAATTAAGGCAATATATATTTTGTAACTTCTTGTAAAGATTTTTTTGGCTTAATATTAATTAAACTTCGCGTTCCTAAAATAGAACCAACTGTAGTTTTAGAGTGCATTGTACAACAACTGATCTTACCAAATTAAGATAAATATTTCCAAAATATTTAATTTCTTTATACCTATCGTTTACGTTACGTTTATCGGACATTTTTCTCGATGCACTAAAACAAAAAAGCCATCTTTAAGTTTTAATATAACTATTTCTATATTAAATGAAGATAGCATCATATTATATGTCATCGCTTAGTCTTAGTCTCATGTTAATATCATTAGCAAGCATGTTATATTTTCATATTTCATTGCAAAAAACATTATATTATAATAACATTGAATAATTTTAATAGAATATTTTGTTATTTTTCAGTGTCGTCAATATCACAAGCTGAAAAAATACGTGTTAAACGGGTGAGTAACCATTGTAAAAAGATGTTGTTTCTTCTTATTTATAATGGGCAGTGAGCCCATTATAAATTGGGCGCGCTTCATTTGTTATAGCCACTTTTTATGTGTTATATGATGAAAAGATTAAAATATATTAATTGAAGGGTTTTTTCTCTTTCAAAATTATATTAAAAAATATGTTTTTTTCCGTTTATTATATAAATCTAATCGATATATTAAACAAAATTATGTTATTCTAAGGTATAAGTTTTAATTTTTATATATTTTGTTATAATGCTATTATTACACACCCCACACTTGATTTTAATCTATCCAAAGATCATGAATAAGATCTATGGTTGACGAGCTTGCCGAGAAGGAACCTATTTACTCTTGCCTTTAATAAGTCTGGGCTATATGCATTCGGGAAGATGTCGGCAGGGAGCTCATTTTAGTACAGAATAAGTGGATAAACGTTAAATTACTAGAAAATCAAAGTAGCTTTGTATGATTTCATATGCTTTTAAGAGACTGCTGATTATAAAATGTTATGTTACTGTAAATGCATAGGTACTAATGAAATATTTATTTTAAGGAAGAAGACGAAAGATGGAGCTGGGGCTATTTCACTGTTGACAATGACACTTTATCCCAGGTAATAAATGTAAATAACAAATTTTTAGGGATGCATATCATAATTGTAGTGATGGTATTTCCATATTAACAAATGTGTAGGTAAATATGGATACGATTATGTACAATGCTTTAAGTTTACCTAAAAAAATTGTAATTAAAAAATTTAGTGAACTAAGTTTATTTAATATTTGAAGAAAAAGTTTGAAACTATCTTCTATTGATAATACAAAACAAATAAATAGAACTGTATTTAAACTGCGGTTATCATATTTCTAAGTAACTTGTTTTTTTTTTATAAAAAAATATTTATCTCTGATAACTGGATATATCTACTATTGGCTAAAAAGTTTGCTAGTAATTAATATTTGCCTTTATTTATCACATTGACCTACAAGATGCAGTGGTGGTGGCTTTGGACGGATACATCATAAGTAAACAATATGCTTTCTTTTTTAATTTCTAGGAAAGATTTTCAGCTAACCTAACTAGGACAGTAGTTGATCCATGCGTAAAACAACCTCCAGTGCAAGTGCCTGATTTCAGAGTACCTGGCCGCAGGGTCAGTCACGTAAGTGAGTATCTTCTTAGATATCTATTAGAATAGAGTTACTTGCCAGAAATAGGCTACAATTTTAAGTCATCTTTCTAATTATATACTTCCGTACAAGAAACAATGTTATTTTTTCGTTGTTTTTTTCTGATATTTTTCATACATTAATAAACGATACGGATTTTTATTTTTTTAAAAAGTGATATCTGATACTTAAAAATATCAGTTTTAACCGATGCTGTTATTTTATATATAATAATTATAACATTTTTTTTACAGAATGTTTGGAATACATTTGGGATATAAAAACGAGAGAAGACGAGGATATAAGATTATACGAGTGTGGGTTTTGTTATTATTGACTATAATTTCGGTGCCTATTTAAGGCAGACAATTAATAAAATCTATACATTTTAAAATATTAATATAGATGTGTGTATTGATTTTAACAGTATTTCTTGCTTTGTTATTGAAATGAAGGTAAAAGAAACATATAAGACCTGTAATCTTGACTACTAAGGTCAGGTAATACAATAAATAGATTTTTTCGATAAATTATAATATGCTTATAACTTTTCATTTGAATCACGTGTAGACGACTTGTGAATAACTAATATTACTTTGTTATTCACAAGTCATCTACACGTGATGAAATTGATTATAAGACCTTAGATAAAACCCGACCTTATTTGACAACGATTTTCAGGTCAACTTCGTAAAGGTAACACTGAGTCTATTGCTGTGGGCGGACGTTCAACATTGCCTGGGGAGTTTCCACATATGGTAAGAGTTCCTCCTCTTTTACTTTTGCAGTGTTCATTCTGTACCTTTTAACTGAATAAAAATTATCTTATTATTTGTTATTTTAAACCCTATAGTGCGCGTATTTCAGAGGAGTCAAAATTAGGATTTTGTGTTTTAAAAATTTATTAATGGAAATCTGATTTTTACAATATAATTTTAAAATACAAGCTATATCACTTCTATTTTTCTATTAAAATATCGATTCCGAGGTTCAAAATACACACTTACAATCTTGATTATAATTATATTACTTGTGTTGTTGTACAAAATAATTGAAAGAGTGATTTTTGTATGGCGTTTCCATCGAACGTTACTTTGCTAGAAGTATAATTTTGGTGATGTAAATGAAATTAAGAAATTATTTTGTTTTCGTCTTCAACTATGATAGGGCGCCATCGGGTGGAAGTCAGTTTTGGGCTCATGGATATTCAAATGCGGGGGTTCCCTCATCAGTGATAGGTTCGTGCTGACAGCGGGCCACTGTTCCAAGGCTTCAGCGAGAGATACTACCATCGCTGATGTTGATCCTAAAATTGTGAGGTTGGCAGATAAAAATATTTTGGTAAGGTTATATTGCTAGAGGTAAAATATTCATATATAGTTATAACGTCAATGATTTAATGCAACCATTATAACGATAACAATAATATTAATACCTAACTCTTTTTAGGACTTGGATGAAGATGGATTTAAAATAGAACACGTCGATGCCATTATATTAAGAATCTTTACTCATCCTGACTATAAGCCACCAAAGAAATATAATGATATAGCCATCATAGAATTACAGGAGAAAGTGGTTTTTACCAGATTTATTCAACCGGCATGTCTTTACAATGGCTCTGATAACGAATCAGTTGGTCAAAAAGCCTCAATGACAGGATGGGGAGTAGTAGAAACAGGTAGATATTCTATTTTTTCTTATTTTTTTTTCTAAATTAAAGCTTCTTTACATAGTTGTTCATCTATATTTGTAAGCATTTGTAAGCATAATATAATTTGTATGTCATAACTTGCAGGATTTAGATAATATTATTTCATTTGAATTATAAATTGTAAAAGGCCAAGTGTAAGTTTAAGCTTCTTTACATAGTTGTTCATCTATATTTGTAAGCATTTCTAAGCATAATATAATTTGTTTGTCATAACTTGCAGGATTTAGATAATATAATTTAATTTGAATTATAAATTGCTATAGGCCAAGTGTAAGTTTCAAATTTATAAAGCCAATAAATCATTTCAGTCTGCATAAGTTGTGCCAGTTTACAGTAGGAGTGATTTCAGGTTGTCCTTTGTGCAACAGGTTATTATGGAAACAATTCAATAAAAACATTCATTATTTATACTGTACCTTATTTTAAATTCTGTTATATATTTTTGGAAAGAATAACAAATAAATGATAGCTATAGAATGTTCAATTTCTTTAGGTGAGTCGGGGGATCGTTAATAATATTATTTTATCTAATTTTCAGTGAATCGTACGACGTCCCCGGAACTGCAAGTAGTGGTGCTAGATGTATTGGATTCAAAGCTATGCGATGACTTGCTGAAGCCGTCATGTAACAGGCATTGGTGTGGTTTAAAACATCACCAGATATGTGCTGGCGTTTTGAAAGGCGGAGTGGACGCTTGCCAGGTAGCTTTGATTACAAATTATTCCGTTCAAGGTAAACTCTAAAGCAACCTACGTGTTTTAGATGTAGCTCGATATTTTTGCAGGGTGATTCCGGTGGTCCTTTGCAAATTCAAATGTCTCTTCCGCAAACAAATGAAGAAGAGTAAGATTTTTGCCTATTTAATTCACTCACACTTCCTCTATTTATTTTGTATTATTTTTAACATTAAATTTTTGTTTAGATGTATACTTACTATAGTCAGTTAGATGCAATTACCATACAATACGTAACGGTAAAGGTTTAGAACATATTTTTGCTACGTATAATACAATCAAGTTTATAATTAATCTTTTTTATTTTTGTGTTATGCAGATGCCAAATCTTTAAATCGTGTAGACGCATGTATCAAGTGATTGGCGTGACGTCATTCGGTGTCGGCTGCGCGCTACCGGATTTGCCCGGCGTCTACACAAAAGTCTCTAGCTACCTTGATTGGATTGAAGATATAGTTTGGAAATAAATATTTGAAAGATAATTAATTTAACGCGACGAATGTGTTTTTTAAGTTAAAATGCTTTTACTTTAAATCATAAAATGATGATAAATGTAATAAGTCAAAGTTTTAGAATAAAATAAGTGGAATCATTTTATTTCATTTATTTATGACATTCAAATCCATAGATTCCCTACCATTTCCATGGTTCCAATTTATCTTCACGGCTATCTATGAGATTATTAGTTTTAATCTTAATTATACGTCACAATGTAGATTTTGTCTGTGTGATTTAATAGGTACCATGTATCTGGCATTTGGAATACACTTTCAGAAATTACCATATAATAAAACGGTGTCATAAAAAGTATTTACTGTATTCAAATACTGGACAATACATACTTTGAAAATGTGTGCGGTGAGCACTCCATTGCTGCAATTGAAGCATTTTCAAAGAGGAAGCGGACATTAATGATGTTGTATAATGTGTTAGAAGAAATAAGGAGCAGATTTAAATGAGATTTTTTAACTTTTTATGAGTCACTTTTTACATCATGCAGTAGCTTTTTGTCCTTTTCTCTATCTTCAAAGCAAACACACAACAGATGATTGCTTAGGCCATATCTGTAGATATTTTTAAAGCATAACAACTGGCACGCTTTGGTAACTGATATCACTTCAAGCCTTATGAAGTTGTATGGTCAATAGAAACATTATGTTTAGTTTTTATAAAATACTGTTTGATCCAACTAGTTTGATCAAACTACTTTAACGTCTATGGCTAACATTAGACGTCTGCTTATTTGACCGCGAATTAGTGTTGCCCAAATGCAAGAACAAGACGAGACTTGGCCAGTCTTGGTCTTGGTCTTGCGCCAATACACCTGGTCTTGGTCTTGGTCTTGGTCTTGCGCTCCCAGTCTTGGTCTTGGTCTTGCAGCAAGAGTCTTGCAAGTCTTGCAATTACCTATTAGACTATTGCTATTTATTAAAGTTTACTTTAGATCTTAGGAATTAACATAGCCATAGTAAAGAACAATCAGATTAATAAATGTCTGAAAATTTGATAAAAAATTTGATAACTTCAACTTTTTTATGTTGGCACAATTTACACAAGGCAGTTTGGGATGCATGAATTATTTCGAAAAACTCCTCAAATTTGCTTTTGAGTCTTTTAGATCTGTAACTCAAACTCTCATTACTCGGACTAGAACGATTTGAATCTTCGTCACTCATATTAAATTGTAGACGTGATACGTTTTCCGAAAAAAACAAGAATTAATAAAAACTATTATTACGTTAGACTCGAAGTACAGCTCAATTAAAAATGACTGGAATTAAAATAATTCCTTTTTTATAGTACATTTCCTTGCTTTCTACCGCGCCGCCACGGCTCGTGCCGGCTCTATTAAAAGGATGCCGCCGTAAATCAAACGATGCCGCGTGCGGCGTACAAACACATATTAATACCTACTTGTACAGATGCGTGACATTGTACCAATCACTATTCTTTACATATAAGTGAATGTTTTGTCGTACATCTTTACTAATATTATAAAGCTGAAGAGTTTGTTTGTATGTTTGTTGACAGAAGTTTTAAAATAAATAAATTAATCCTGAACGTCACTATACCTCCAAAGTTACTATTCCTCGTGGACGAAGTCACGGGCACTGCTAGTAAATACTTACTCTCATCATCTCCCTCAGAGATATTCGGGCTCATAACCAATACAAAAATTCTATCGCAGGCTTTTTATTTTAAAAGTAGGTAGGTACGCCTTTTATATTATTTTATTAGTTTTGTAGAATTATTTTACACGTTTCAAGTATGCTTAAAAGTGGCTCCAATATTTATCAAACGGGTGATATTTGACCATTTTTTGCTATTTTTTCTTGTACAAATTAAGAAATTTAAGAAATATTTTGTCTAAATGTACAATAATAGTACCTAAGTAATTAGTTTAAACTCATATAATCAATATTATAATATATACTTACTAGAATAAATTATTATGACATCTACTACCTATCCTTACCATTATCTAATCATAATACTACTTGCGTGATCAGTATAATGTATTCGTTTCCATTCTAAGCACACTGAAACTTATTTATTCTTTGGAACACCTGTGCTCTTAAAACTATACCTAGGCCCTGTGGCGGTAATCAATTAGTGTCAAATGTTGTGATTTCGGCGCGGCGGCACCGATTGTTGTATGTGATTTCAAAAGAAGCCGCCGCCGCGTGTATCATCATCATGTACTTCCGAAAAGCGGCAAATTTCTTTGAGAAGTCAGTACAAAACCTTTGATGCCGCATTATCAAAGTGCCGATGGTTAAAACAAAACTATGCATGCACTCTGTTTGATTTTAATGGATATTTTTTTATTCGCTATGTATGCTTATGGTAGGTATTGGTCTCAATGCGCACAGGTCCAGTTTTTCATATTCTTTGATACAGTTTTTTGCTTCTCATAGAATTCCTAAACGTATCTTTACACCGAACTGTTATTCCTAACTACTCCGTGAAATAGCGCTAAGTCCTAGCTGCAAGACGCAAGAGTCTTGTTCTTGCTTAAGTCTTGGATGGTCAGTCTTGGTCTTGGTATTGCTAAAAATGCGCGGTCTTGTTCTTGGTCTTGGTTTTGCATTTTTGCAAGACCAAGACCAAGACTGCAAGACCAAGACTGAATTTGGGCAACACTACCGCGAATAAACAAGTTTGTTTGTATTTTGTTAAATTTCGTCTTTGAACCTGTTTCAATTAGTAGATTTTGTTGTAGTAAAAACAATTTATATGGGAGCTCACCAAATAAAGAGAATACGCTATAACCCACACATTAGCTAAACGAGAGATAAAGGGTTTAAAGTACTTTCCGAAGCAAGAAGGAGCCTAAGACAACAAATTTTGGTCTAGTCAAATGAAGATGAGTATCTTATGATTAGCCTCGCGTAAGTTGGACAGCCTTCGCATCGCAGACCGAAAAGGTTCTCAACCATCAAGTTCCTCCTGACACAACTAATATAGCGTCATCATCATAACATTTAATAGTGACACTCTTTTCGGTGGAGTGATTTCCATTGTATCCCTTTACGTATGTTTCCATATCTTATACAATCAACTTGATTCCTTGGTATAACATAGCTATTATTTAATTAAGTGCAACGGTTAATACCACAGAACACAGAAAAGACGCGTAAGGTGCATTGCCGCTGCTTCAGCAAGAATACATCCTGTTCCCTATGTGTGTAGTTATCTATAAGGAATGCCTGTGTCTCAGCTGTGGGTCATAAATAGATCGATGATTTTAAAAATGAATTATGGATTAAAACAGGGATACAAATAATACCCGTGTAAGTTAGGTTACATGTATGCAAATTTATAAAAACGAGTTTGAAAGGATCTGTTTATTTATCGCAAAATTTGCACTGTGACTCGTCGCGTACGTTTTAATATGATCTTTTGGTCGTGTCTGGTTCAGAGATTTTTTTAAGTGTACTGTTTTGTGAATTATAATGTATTTTATAATATTTGGTGTTATATTAGTTCACGGTACGTTGGGCGCTTTATTTTTTTACTATCATGACATTAGTTATTTGCGGGTCGATTATTTTCTAAATGTACTTTACATTATTAAAATTTCCCTTATGTAAGAAAGAGAATTGGTGTGAAAGGTAAAAAGTCATTTTAAAAATTTGACAAAATTTAAAGATAGTTAGCTCTATTGATTAGGTTAGGTTAGGACATGTGAAGAATATTTCAAACGACAGGCAGACTAAACCTTTTTATCTGCAGTGTCATAATGTATGAAAAGAGTTATGAACATGAAACCGCTCAGTTCTCTACGCGTTACAAGTTATCTGGCGTAAAGATATTATAAAATAATAGTTTCTTATAAATAAAATTGACTTTTATGCTATTACTTGGTTTTAGTCTCATATTACCTTTACATTATTATCTTCTGAAGATTTCTGAGAAAACTTTTCAGGCGTTACATTGGTAGCCCATTTTACGTTATGAGTACAAAAAATACAAAATAAAGCGCGTCTTTACCAAAATAATAACTAATCGCTTAATCGTTAAATTTGTAGGCACTTTATTTTAAATTTCACATGTCATAAGGAAAAAGAATCAAGAATCATTCACTAATATTATAATGGACGAGTTTGTCTCTAATCAGTAACATGTAGAACACGTTTATATTTATAACAAGATAATGTATCACATTATTCTAATGTAAAATAGTTATTTTGCAGTTTCGAAAATATTCCAATGTAAAGATATACGTGTTAAACAGGTGAGTACCCTACTTTGTACTGTATTTATTTGTTATTGTATCATTATGTTACCATTTTGATCATATACGTTTCTCTTTGTTCAGAGATGGCCGAGTTATCATGTGTTTTTCGATACTTATTATTATTTGTTAGTTTAAGGGGCTTGTGGAAATGTGGTCACTACGACCTGAAGGTTCTTTTGTGAATCGCCCACAAAATCAAATAGTATTTTATTTTAGCCTGGTATTTTATGTTAGCTTCCAATTATTAAACCTGAATCCGCGTAACATGGCTCATCGAGTAAACTTCTATACCTGATTCTACTGAATACCCGGTTTCCTTAGTTTTTGGTATATTTTGCTGGGGCACAGGCAGTCAAAGGATGGAATCTATACTAAGGAATACGAGCAATGATCCACCCTGTAGGCCCAGGGCGGATTAGTGGGTGTATAGAACTGCAGACTTATCGGGTTAACGTGCATTCCATATTTATGGTCACCCATCCTATATTCCATTATTCAGAAAATTCGGTTACTTATCACCATTCCTTGTGAAAGTTTCTTAAGCTCTGCATCGCAGACATATTACATATTAAGTTATTAAATAAACTGCTCAGGGCACTAGTTAATACAGGCGGTTCCAATTAATAGAATCACATAGGAATATTGAACCGTAACTCATCTGAGACTATTAACGTTTTTTTATGATCTATTGTGCATTTTATTATACTCCTGTTAGTATGTCGATGAAATTTTTATTTTAAGGTAGAAGACGAAAGATGGAATTGGGGCTATTTCACCTTGGACAATGGGACTTTAATCGAGGTAACTTTTGTTAAGTTAATGTATCTTAATAACAAAAATAAGAGGAGATATCAAGGTTGGCTGGAAGTTTGATAACACAAGGGAACATACTCGTAAATCAGATAACTAAATTCGTGACAATATATACCTCTTAAGCGTGGCGCCGTGTACAAAAACATATCCAGCATGGACAAATGTGGTTCAATACACGCTCAGTATTCCATACATACCAACTTTACTTAAATCACAAATATATATAACGGCGGGTAGTCCGAAGGTGCTATTACGAAGCCCAAATAGATCGTCCATATCGGAGGACTATCTTTAAAATAACACTGCAGGCGTGTATACCAACGTGGATTTGTTACATTTTATCACTTTTCGTACAAAAATATAACGAGATGAGCGTGATGTCGTCCGATGTCTTAACTCCTCGGCGATCGGAAACAGAATGTGTGCCAAAATGGCGGCAACTTGGTTTTTATAAACGAACTGTCAAAGTCAGTGTCACCATTCTAATAAAATTAAGGGTATCGATGATCACGCTCTCTTTACAATCGAGTAATTAAGTAATCGAGTAACTAGCAAGTAAAATAAAAGAAACTAAATCAAACGATCTTCGTAATGATGATGCGACACGGCCATTCTGGGAGACGGTGCGTGCTCTGCGCCGTTCGCGTTTCTGTAACAAAATACAAGAGCTTTTCTGAGCTAGGTATCTGTAAACCTAGTCATTTGGGAATTTTGATTTGAACAAGATTTCGGCCATCATTTTTTTTTAACATCAAATTCATTACCAACGGGTATTTTATCACAATTGTTATAAAAACTGTAGTTAAGTTAGCACATGTAACTTTCTAACGAATAGATTGTATAGGGAAATGAGCTGTTTTATTAAGTTTATTTGGTCAATGCAACTGCTCCACGCATACTTGCATGATTATTGTTCTCGTAGCAAGGATGATGCTGTGGTCATGAGCGGTCCTGTACGCCGTGGTCCACAGAGGCTCTAAAGGAGATGGCGAAAAGGTCGATGTTGGGGTCTGGGTCTTACATATGACCGTGGTCCCCAGAGGCTCTAAAAGTTTTTTTTTAATTATTTTTTTTTGTTTTTTTTTTGCTCATAAGGTATCTGAGGCTGTGGTCATGAGCGGTCCTGTGCGCCGTGGTCCACAGAGGCTCTAAAGGAAACGGGAAGGACGATGCTGGGGTCTGGGCCTTATTTATGACCGTGGTCCCCAGAGGCTCTGTGAAACGACTTAAAAGTTGGGAAGTTCATAGGATGGGATTTATACAGTCTTTTCATAAGAAATTTTTGATTGTTGAATTGAACTTTCATGAAAATGTTATCTCTCTATCAAACAGCGAGAAATATAGAGTGCCTAACAATACCACTAACCATTTACTAGGCATCTAATTGATGTGCAGCGCGGTAGATTCTTTTCTCGGTCAGCCCTGACTTTAACTAAAGTAAGAATTTGAAACCAATCGAAACTTTATTAATTAGAGACCGTTTATACTTTAAGTTTCTTTAGTAATTAGAATTTAAGAGTTGATAAATCCTATCATCAAATCTTATTTACAATGAAATTATTCATAAACAACAAACCGGTTTGAGAACCTCGATTGCATCACTTAACCAGCAATGCAATCACACTTTTTCAATTTTATTTTCACTTAACTAGTAATTTTAAGAGTTACTAATTCGATTGCCATGAACTCTTCACGATATTAATTACTTTATAAGGGAGCACTCGACTCCAGTATCATACCAAAATGAAAACGACTCACCAAAATACTGCAAAATACTAGCAAAGGTAGCAATGATGTAGACGTCTACACGTCGCTCACTAACAATGCCAGCAGACGAGCCACCAGTTTTGCCACCGTTGCATCTTTTTCGGCTACAGGTATCTTGAGAGAAGTGACCATCTGTTCCGCAACTGTTCTTCATATTAGGAACGCTTGGTTCACCCCACGAAGGCTTCAAGTGTTTCTTCTTGTATCGACAGGCAGAAATATTGCCAGGATCGAGTTCAGGCAGATGCACATGTGATTCGACGACGGCACATGTGACTAAGTTTTGAAAAAGTTTTGATTTTGTTTCCGCAACAAGATTCTCCATATCCATCTGTATATCCACTTGGTCGGTTACAACCCACTTCTGATAACGGCGGGTAGTCCGAAGGTGCTATTACGAAGCCCAAATAGATCGTCCATATCGGAGGACTATCTTTAAAATAACACTGCAGGCGTGTATACCAACGTGGATTTGTTACATTTTATCACTTTTCGTACAAAAATATAACGAGATGAGCGTGATGTCGTCCGATGTCTTAACTCCTCGGCGATCGGAAACAGAATGTGTGCCAAAATGGCGGCAACTTGGTTTTTATAAACGAACTGTCAAAATCAGTGTCACCATTCTAATAAAATTAAGGGTATCGATGATCACGCTCTCTTTACAATCGAGTAATTAAGTAATCGAGTAACTAGCAATTAAAATAAAAGAAACTAAATCAAACGATCTTCGTAATGATGATGCGACATATACATAAACTATACTTTCATAAGTACCCAAGTATCCTTGAAACCAAAGTAAAATTGAAGGAAAGAGAATCTAGTATATACTGGCTTAGCAACCTCTGTCAATGGTTCCAAAGCGGTAGTTTCAAAAGTCCGAGTGACCTTAATGATCGTCAACCCTCATAATAAGACGGCGCCATAAGAAGAAGCAGGAGAATACCTTTATACAGTAAATTTACAATAAGGTGCTATTACCATAAATAAGCAAAAATCAACAAACAGAAAAGGATTGCTCAATAACGTATTTCTTTTGCTTGTTATTATTTCCCTTTCGTCATCTTCGATCAATTGACAAGTAAAAATTCATCAAGTTTTATAATTGTAACTATTCTAAGTTTATTTCTTCAGCGTTAATTTGGAGATTTTTTTTTGTTTCGTTCAGTTCTTTCACCGTGGTGGAAAATTCATTTTGTTTTCTGCATTAGACTCCTCGGGCATGCGTTGGTAGTACAAAGTAGATTCTTCAAAATTAACGATACAATGTTTTCAAAAATTTAGGAGAGGTTTCCAGAGAACCAGAATAACACTGAATATAATCCATGCGAAATCCAACCTTCAAAAGTGCCTAATTTTAATGCACCCGGACGCAGGATTAGTCACGTGAGTGAGTACTTTTTACTTGTAAATTGACAAATTAAAACAGTCTTCGATAAAACCGACATAACTGAAAATCTGATAACATATTTCAGAAAACTCTTTTGAACTCGACCTTGTGTATAATAGAATGAACGTCCTTGTGAAATGACATAAGAATAGAATATCAGAGACACTTATATTCGATAAATTTTGTTTTATATTTTTATGCAAAAAAATGGAATCAAAGAATATTTTCACTAAATGACGTAAATTCGGACACATGTGAATTCAAATCCGGGTTTGGATTTTTACAGAATCGCAGGGCAGTGTTTGGGTGTACTGTTAAAGTTATAGTTTAAATAAATTTTATTTGAAAATAATAATTGTAACAGATTATACTTTTATTTACAGAATGTTTGGAATATATTTGGGATATCAAAACAAGAGAAGACGAAGACAAAAGAAAGGAAACATGTGAGATTTATTATATATATTTTTTTAATATTGATCTGAACATTTTGTCTTGTTTCGTTACTAAAATACTCGTCCAAAAAAGAGAATTGTTTTTAAATAAAAATAACATCTATTTGTTATTAAATAGACCGTAATTGTTCACTGTACTTATTCATTAATATTTGTATGTGGTACAAATATTTGGTACAAATATGTATGTGTGATATAATACAATAGTTATTCTTCTTAATACTCCAGAATATACTGAAAAGGTTTTCTTTGCTTTTCAATTTAATTTCTCTGTAATTGGCTCATCAATGTTTTAGCCAGCATCAAGGTTTTCCTTTCTTAGTTGGTAAGCATAACCTCTATTTTCTCCATATCTCGTATTTCCATCGTAATAAGCTAATGAGTAGTCAGTCGATTTATAATTTAATGCTATTTGGTCAATTCTCTTTAAACTCCTTGTTTTATTTAGTCATCAAAGTGTAAAACAACAATGGTTTACAGGTGCATATACTCGTAGTAAAAAGATACAAGGTAATGGAGATATTATTCCTATTGCTGTCGGTGGACATTCAACATTTCCTGGAGAGTTTCCACACATGGTAAGTGTATATTTTCTTTAATTTTACGAAGTAGTGTTCTGTTTCTCTTGTATGCGTATAAAACTCATTTGATTTTTTGCAGCTTGTACGTTCAACTTAAAAGTTAATAGTTTTTAATTTAACTGATTTCTATTTTATTATTATTTTCGGATTGGTTGTTTAGGGTGCCATAGGATGGAAATCAGTAACGGGTTCATGGATATTCAAATGCGGTGGTTCCCTCATTAGCAATAAGTTTGTGCTGACGGCAGGGCACTGCTCTAAGGCTTCGGAGAGGGATAGCTCTATTGCCGATGTTGATCCTAAGATTGTTAGGTTGGCAGACAAAAATATTTCGGTAAGTATAAACTTTCAAAACATAAAATGTTTTGGACAACTGCCTAAAACATTTTCTTTTCTTGATATATAATGACAATGGTTTAACAAGAATCAACTAATGACGAAAATAACTATGAATAAATTTTTTTAGGACAGGGAATTACATGGGCTTACTAAAATATATTTGGATGCCACTATATTGAGAATTATCACTCATCCTGACTACAAACCACCAAAAAAATATAACGATATAGCCATCATAGAGTTGCAGAATGAAGTATTTTTTACTAAATTTATTCAACCGGCATGTCTTTACAACGGCTCTGATAATGAATCAGTTGTTAAAAAAGCCTCGATGACTGGATGGGGAGTGGTGGAAACTGGTAGATGCCTTTATTTTTTCTTACAAATCCTTTATAGGTTAGAAGTCTACCGACGGATTGGGTTTTATATTGTCCTTATTTGGCAATTTACAACTTTACTATCTAATACGATACATTATTGTATCTAATCCTAATCTAACTATCTAATTCGATACATTATCGTATCTAATCCTAATCTAACTATCTAATACGATTCATTATCGTATCGTATTAGATAGTAAAGTTTATCAAAAATTATGAGGATAAATTTTTCTTAATTCATGTGGCCTACATATTTTATCTAATTTTTAGTTAATCGTACTACATCTCCGGAACTGCAAGTAGTTGTGCTAGACATATTAGATTCAAAACTATGCGACGCCTTGCTGAGGCCATCATGCAACAGGCACTGGTGCGGCTTAAAAGATCACCAGGTGTGTGCTGGAGTTTTGGCAGGCGGGGTGGATGCTTGTCAGGTAACCTTATTCTTCTTCTGCATTTTGAAGAAAATTGAAAGAAAATACGATAAAGATATAAGCTTTAGGAAGTTTTTAAAGAATAAAAGTGTGTTAACTTTAAATTTTCAGGGTGATTCGGGTGGTCCTTTACAAATTAAAATGACTCTTCCACACACAAATGACAAGTAAGATTTTTAAGAATTATTTATTATCGACGAATCTCTTATTTCTTCTACATTATTGTTTAACATAAACGAATAATTATATTATTTCTTTGTCTTTCATAGTTGTAAGTACGATAAACCATGCAGGCGAATGTATCAAGTGATCGGCGTGACTTCATTCGGTGTCGGTTGCGCGCTACCGAATCTTCCCGGGGTTTACACAAGAGTCTCCAGCTACCTTGATTGGATTGAAGATATAGTTTGGAAATAAATTTACAAGAGAAGTTACGAATGACTTTGATTTATTTTCTAATATTACAATGTTTAAGGTGCATATAGAGATTTAAGATTTAAGACCCTCGTGTCCTCTCATACTCTTTTGTCGGTGCAATATCCGTAACGGAGTATGAGAGGAGATGATCTAAAATTACCCTAGAACCGTTTAATGTTTGAATATTGAAAACATGCAAGACACTTCATAAGGTCATAATAAAAAAAACAATTACATCATCACACGTTGAAACTTCTTATTTAGTGGAATTTAACGATACGGTTAATAAAGGTCACCATTTTTCTAAAACAAAGGACAATTGTTTCATATCAGGACATTAAAAACACACGAGCGGCTTAATAAGACCATACTGAGAAAAAATAGCAATAATTTATATGTTTAACTGGGAAAATAAAAACCTGTTTTCTAGCGAGTTTTAAAAAAAGTATATAAACAATCTCATACAAGTAACAGAAAAGTTTCTGTATGGTAAAAGATTTTCTCCGATGATGACTATATAATCAACAAATCATCAAAATCTTCAAGAGTAGTTTTTTAACAAATAAAACCTCGTATCTTACCAGAGCTTCTTGAATCGACCTCATGTGAAAAATATGCAGATTCGTTTCCTAGCACGTCTCGATTATGCGAGCACGCCGAAATATATGAGTCGTAAAAATAGAATAACAAATGAGACACTGCCCTTAAGCTAAGGACGACCAAAGATTTCTTCAGCAAAATTAATAGGAAACATAACTTTTATTATATTGCGGTATCACATTGAAAAGTATTATTAATATGATACTTGCGAAAGTCGATTTCTTTTCGAATTAAAAATCGTTATCACCGACTTAAACATGAGGGTTTGTCGGACGATCGATTACGTTACGATGAAGCAGCATTACATTTGCAGAATTTTTCATCGTTGGAGAATTTTATTACTTTGATATTCAATTTCTTCATGCTTTATAATATTGTATTTTGCCTATTAAGCATCTATAAGTATATGATTCTATAGAATATAGAAAAGCCTATGTGATAAAAAATTCATAATGTGTATAAGGAATAATATGTAATCGCTAGATATAAAAACTGTAGATGATGTGATAATTTAATCACTTTATTTAGAGATTATATGTCATATATTTTACTATATTACTTATAAGCGCTCACCCTTTCATGTATTATATTTTAAATTCTTTGTGATATATTGAATATTTTACTTTATCAAAATTAGCTATAATATATGTTACGCTCAAAGATCAAAATCGCTCATCGAGCGAAATAATAGTTCACAACGCGTTGTGGCCACAGTAAGATATCCGCATAGTGAAATTCGTGTTATGGCTCTTGTGGAAACGTTCACAACGTGTTGTGGCATTCAGAGAATAATCACATAGACAAATCTGTGACGTGGTTATCATGCTATTCGACTACATTCAGATTTCGATCTTTGAGCGTAACATATATACAAAAAATAAAGTGGTAAATTCAGCTTTTTTTATCACTCTGTCCAAACGAGGTAGATGTAATGCATAATAAATAGGTTCATTGATAACAAAGATGACGATGACGGTGGTGTGGGTACTACTAGCGTGGGAATAAAGCACTAAGGTATCTTCATAAATATTTATTACCCACAAAACAAGTTCCGTTAAATTCAGTGACGTTAATAAAAGTACAAAACGTCAGTACAAAACAACAAATACCAAATATGAATACCGACAAATATTAAAAGGAGGTTGGTCGAGCTGCTGGTCCTCAATAATTACTTTAACTGTAACTTGAACAGCGTGTAATATTAAAGTACAATGCACTTTAGAAAGACACTACTTATCTGTCAAGGATTTTTTACAGAAAAGGTCAGACTAAAGTTAAAGAAATTTTCATAAAAATTGGGTACTGTTATATCGATATATAAATATCGACTTTGATTATTCACAGAACTAAACACATTGAAAGTATTTTATCAATGCTAAACACTTTGCTATTTTACGCGCTGTCAAAATCAACAGGGCTTATTGGAATTAGTCGTTCCATATTTCAATCGGTCTCTCAACACAAGTTAATTTTAGCTAAGTCTCAGGCAGACAAAGAACAAGTTTTAGTTTTTTAATAATCATAAAAATATCAATTCAAGATTCTTACAAAAAAGTTCCGAAACGTTTTCCTTCTACTTAAATACACAAGCATGTTTATCTCGGTATAGAGCGCTCTACATATTCTTAATAATTTGCTGCTCATTTTCGTATATACATGCATTCACACAACTTTTGATGTTATCCCGAAGAAAAAATCCAACGGCGTTAAGTCAGATGAACACTCAATCTCTCGAAGGAAGTCGACAGCATTTAGCTTCTGGTCTATCGTCGATTAATCGCTGACTGTAGAGATCATGAGCTTGGTCAAGACTTCTGTCCGAAATAATATTCCGAATTACTCGGATTATTTTTCATAATTTTGTAACTAGTGGTTTCATATTAAATTTTGACTCTAAGAAGAGACGGACAACTTAGTGGTTGTATAAGAGATTCGTGTTTTTGTATTGAAGTATGGAACCCTAAAAAGAGACCTTTGTTAATTCTTCCAACATATTTCCAAATTACCTCGCCGGAGGTCGGGTGAGCTTAAAACGAATATCATTATTAAAAGTGAATCAAAATTCAAATCGAGCCTTAATTAAGTTTGGTGTCAGTGAAAAAAATAAATTAAAACTTTTAATATGCAAATGGGGAGGCATCAACATGTGTCCCAAAGTAAAAATGCTAATCATTGCTGCGTACATTTAAAATATTCCTTTTATGGCTATCCATAAATTTGCGGAAGGTTTTGAGTTAGGGTTGCGTTTAAAGCTTTTCATACGAATACATGTGCTACGGAAATTATTATTGTTACATTGACTCATCTCTACTTTTGTGAAGTTACTTGTTTTTTACCATAATCTATACTTATAATAAATCTGTAGAGAGGTCAATTCTGTACATGAAATATATTTCCAAAATAACTATCAGGGGGTGATTAGGGATCGATACTGATGCCAAAAATGCAATCAGTAAAATTTTTGTCTGCCTGTCTGTATAACCGTTTTAGGAACAAAAACTACTCGACGGATTTTAACGAAACTTGGTACAATTATTTTTCATACTCCTGAGCTGATTATAGTATACTTTTTATCACGCTACAATCAATAGGAGCAGAGTAGTGAAGGGAAATGTTGGGAAAACGGGAGAAGTTACTCGATTTTTTAAGCTTCCGTCGCGTGTGAAACCTTAATGGTTAAAGCTACCCAGAAATCATGTATGACGGAAATGTTCTCCTTAAAATTATATAAAAAATATCCTACGACAGCATATGTCTATATTTTTTATATGCTGCCCAAAGTAACTACACCACGCGGACGAAGTCGCGGGCAAAAGCTAGTAAAATCATAGAATTATTAATTACCCTTAAACTACTAATGGTTAAAACCACGCAATCCTAAGATTGTAACCTTGCCTACCATGAGACGGTCCTTTTTAATTGCATTTTGGATCTTGATCTTATTTCTAGTAACTACAAATCCGTACTTTTTATGTCTATGATTTTAACGGATAAGGATACTACTTACTTAATTTATTCTCGAAGCGCTTCGCCGTTTTTTGAACTCGCATAACTTGGGTTTGGATTATACCAGATAAACAAAATTCTCGGATTCGAAAGTTTCAAATATATATATAGTTACATACTTTTCATTTTATTGATACAAACTTGTTTAGTTAGGGTATTTAGAGCGAAAAACCTGGATCTACATAATACCTGAAAACGTTTTAATAGCTTACCTGCATCTGTTGTTTTTTGATTTGAAAACGCAATTGACAGTATTAAAAATAAATATTATCTAGTTTGTGCAACAAATTGCCATTAAAACTTTAAAAAATCACATAACTTTTCGATCTTATTCTTTTTGTCTTTAAATAGAGAGAAGTTTAGTATCTACAACAAATTGAAAGTCAAAAATTCTAAAAAGATCTCAAAAGTTTAGTTTAAGTTTTCAATTGTTTCGCTTTTTATACATTACTAGCTTTCGCCAGCGGCTTATACTTGACCAATAAATAAATATATTCTCATTGCAAAATTGTTTTTTACTATCACTGTACTCATAAGTGCTGAAGTAAGCGCAAAATTAAAAATATACTATGTTGAAAATGTCAGATAAAAAAGACACAACACTGTTGCCAAAATATTTATTTCCAGACAATGCTTTCAATCCAGTCTAGGTAGCTAGAGACTCTAGTGTAGACACCCGGTAATTTCGGTAGGGCGCAGCCGACGCCGAATGACGTCACGCAGATCACTTGATGCATACGTCTACACGTGTTAAAGATAGAGCCACAACTGCGAAACAAAATCAAGTTGCTTTTACATTATATTTTTACCGTGTGGTATGGCTGTGGTTGGTTTATTGAAATCTGCATAAGTCTAGGGAATATTGTATGATAAGCGTAGTTAGTCTGTTCATTCAAGAATACTTACAAGTTATTTTTTTGCGGAAGAGGTATTTCCATTTGCAATGGACCTCCCGAATCTCCCTGTCAAAGCAAAAATAAACAAATGTATTTTTTTAAATCTATGCATAGACATACGGACGTTTCGAGTATATTTGATTACGAGCACACAAATTTATTTATTGTACCCATATTTATTTTAATCGTCGTATCTAAAATCAGTATTCTAGAGATCAATTAAATTGGAACAATCTGAACAGTCTTATTTTTACTGTTTATTAAAGTGTAACACCTGGCAAGCATCTGTTCCCCCTGCTAAGACTCCAGCACATAACTGGTTGTCCTGTAGACCGCACCAATGCCTGTTACATGATGGCCGCAGTAGGTCATCACACAGTGGAGTATCTAGTACGTCTAGCAATACTGCTTGAAGCTCAGGTGATGTAGTATAGTTGACTGGAATAGTACTTGTATGTGACATGTTATTTTTATCGTATATCGTATTTAAACAGCTAGTTAAAAATAAAATGAATTAGA